TTGGAATTTTTATTTATTTTTGCGTTGGTTATTTTTAAAGAAATGTTAATTTCTTCTAAGTTAATGCATCTTTATGCATTCTTTGGCATACAGTTTTTACGGTAGACTCTAATCTTTTTCGTCTCTGCTGGAGCTCTCATTATATCCCGTTTATGTTTCATATTTTTCGTGTGTGTCTCTTTCTTCAACTTTGCCAGAAGCTTGCCTATTTTATTTGTATTTTCAAAGAACCAACTTTCAGTTTTTGTTAATCACATCCATTATATCTTTGTTTTCTATTTCATTAATTTCTGTACTTACAGTTATCTTTCTTTAAATTTATTCTGTTGTCCTTTTTCTAATTTCTAAAGTTGAGTGATCAGCTCATTAATTTTCAGCCTTTCTCCTCTTATATTGATAAGTATTTAAGTCTCTGCATTTCTCTCATATTATCTCCTTCACTGCATGCCATAAGCCTTGGTATATTATTGTATTTTCATTATTGTCTAGCCCAAAATATATTTAAATTTTTCTTAATTTTTTTTTATCTACAAAGTATTTAAAAGTGAGGTTTTAAAGTTCTGAGCATACATTTTTGAGTGTTAATTTAATCGCATTGTGATTAGAAAACTTGGTGCATATGAGGATGGCTATTTTAAAAATTTGACCTTTCTTTTATGGCCTGTTCTGTGGTCAATTTTTGTAAACATCCCATTGTTATATGGAATCTATATATATCCAATAAACCAAACTTGCTAGTTGAACTTTTATATTTTTACTATTTTTTGTCCTATCAATAAATAAGAGATACCTCGAACATCTCCCGTTCTGATGATGAGTTTAATTTGTCTATGTATTCTATCAATTTTGCTTTACATATATATGATTGTTTAAGAATTGTTTTACCTCCCAGACCAATGGAACATTTTATTGTATAGAGACCCTATCAATATAATTGCTTTTATGTTTTAAAGTCTCCTTGTTCTAAAGCAGAAAGTTTATTTCTTGGAGCAAAGAGCAAAGGACATTAGTAGGGTAAAGGCATGGGGTGGATATCCATGTGGGGTCAAAACATCCTGCTTAATGGCTTTTACTTTGTATATTGATCACCACGTTAAGCCTGGGTATAAAGAACTTGGAGACGATGACCTTGGCCTCAGGTAGCACACAGTCCAGCTTGGAAGCCAAGACATGGCTCGCAACATGGATATGGCACACAAGACAGAGACCGCTAAGTGCTCAATGAGCCGTGCACTTTGTCAGAGAAGGGTGACGTCGAGGTGGGGCAGCCAGGGTGTCCCCACAAGTCACAGAACGTGAACTAAGCTCAGAAAAATTAGACTCGGTTATGACGGGAGGGGGCAGCTGACGAGAAGACCCAGAGACAAGCAGAATGGAACAGACAAAAAAGGAAGGTCCGTGTTATAAAAAAACCCTCAATATTTAATGGTAGGGTATATATTAGGTTCTGGGCACCATGCCAAACACCTTATGTTGATTATTTTATTTAATCACCCCTCACAACATCCCTTTGAAACACAAATTATAATTCTGTTTTACAGATGAGGAAACTGGGGCCCCGGAAGTTAATTTGCCCAAAGTCACGTAACTATAGGAGGAGGAAGAGTTCGATTCATTTAAGGTCTCCCTGCAACATCTTCAACTCCGTCCCGGAATGCTCGGCAGCACACGTGGCATTTGGATAGAACCGGGATTCATTTGGGCAAAGAGAAGAGACTAAGATTAGAACCCGAGGCGACACGTATGAGCCCTTTCATTTTTGAGCAGAAGAGGGAGGGAGGCCCAAGCAGGCCTCTTTGGGGGCAGCAGGGAGAAGGGTCCTAGGGCGGGGGAAGAAATCACAGTGGGGGAGAGGGCTCAGTTTCCTCTAGATAAGATGAGAACGTGACACTTATACTGACCTCTGAACAAATTCCCTTGCCAGGTTACCTTTCACGTCACATCCAAAATACTAATATGACAAAAATCTTCCAATGGGGCTTATTCTATTTTTTTCTCTTTTAAAGATACATGCTACAGTAGGGGGCTCTTAAAAAAAAACAACAAACCTTTAGAATTTTTTGATAAGATGTGACGGGTTAAATTCTACTTGGCTCTGGCTGCTTATTTTGAAAATGTCATGTTCCTGAATCATGCGTGCTTAGTCATTCATTCAGAGCCTGGTTGGGTTAATTAGACACAACGTGGGCAGACAGGGTGACATCATACACCTCCTGCAAAAGAGACAGAGGTGAAATAGAATGGAAGAGGAGGATTCCAATAGGTCTTTGTTACAAAAGCCTGGATGAGACTGACCGAAAGCGGGGAAAAGAAGAATCGGACCGAAGTATTCGAAGGAGCTCTTGGGCAGCATGGCGGTGGCGGAGGCTTCAAGCGCTAGTGTGGAAGGAATTGTAAACGTTTTCCATCAAGGCAGGGAGGGAAGGCCCAAGGAGGACACGATCCGGGAGGAACCACAGGGAGCTGTTTCCAGAAACATTTCACACAACACCTGTTCCATGGAAGGCTCCGAGGAAAGGAAGCACTCCACGGTTTGGGAAAAACACTAGGTTAAACAAATACATTTCTTTACTGCAGGCCTTTTCAGAGCCTTCAGAATTTTCATGTGCATCATAAACACCCAAGAGGTGATGCAGTATGCGAAGTTCCCAAATCTCCGTGATTACAGAAATCCCACCCATCCCCCCGCTTCTCCTCCCCGGACATGGTTTTTTTTTTTTTTCTTGGAGATTTCTTATAACTTCACCCTTTCATAAGTTCTGGGACGGGAAAAGATGTGACAGAGCTATTTCTCCTACTGTAGATTTTTCTCTGGTTCCTCCAAGATGCATCTGATGTGTGCTTCTAAGTTTATTTGAGAGCTAAATGCATATTTTGTTTAAACCAACGTTGACAAAGGCAAGTCGTTTTCCTAAAATTCCCAAACTTCTTTCTCCACCCTCTCAACTATCCAAATGAATCAAAAAAAACTAGTTCATGAGAGGAAATCGCAGCTATTTTATAATTTTTTTTTTTTAAAATCAGTGTTCACTTATAGTCAGTTTACAAAACGAATCCCATCACCACACACCGTCTTGGCCGCCTGGGCTGTGCGGTATCTTGTCCTCAGGGTCTCAGTAGCCCCCTCTCTGCTGACCCGCCTGGCGCTGGGCCTCCTGCGCCATCTGATCAAAGAAGCTGTTGGTAAGGGCTCTCACGTCGTCTCTCCTGGAGGCCCGGGAGATCTTCTGGAATTCCTCCAAGGTGGCATCTTTCTCGCGGGCGATCTGCTCCATCCTCTGCTCCTTCTTCCTGATGGCTTCCTTGATGCCCTCGACGTGGCACTTTTCCTCCTTCTCGGCTTTCAGCTTCAGGATGTGATGGTTCTTCTCCCGCAGGATGTTGAGCTCTCGGACGTGCTGCGCCTTGTCCCTGATGCTCTTGCGGACATTGCCCCTGGCCTGCCGGATCTTCTGATCCGCCAGCTCCACCAGCAGCCGCTTGTGCACCACCTTCTGCTCCTCCGACTCTTCCGCGCGCCACTTGACCTGCTGGAACTGCTGCTCCTCCTTCCGGGCCTTCTCCCTCAGCTCTCGGTGACGCTCCTTAATCAGGCTCTGGTGGATCTCTTGGGACCGCTGGGAACTCTGTTCCAGGGACAGCTTCCTAAGGAGCTCCTCGGCCTTGGCCTGGCAGTCCATGAGGACCTTCCGGGCTTGGTAATTGACCAGGGAGCTGAGATTGGCTTCTTGGACCTTTTTCTGGCCCTCGGTGATGTGCAGCTGCTTCTTGTGACAGGCCTGCTCCAGCTTCTTCTGCAGCTCTAGGCTGTTCTGCTCCCGCTGGGCCTGCAGCATCTTCTCCTGCTCCTGCCGGCGCTGCACCTGGCACTGCTTCCTGGCCTCGGCCTCGGGGCAGGGCCTCTCCAGCTTCTCCTGGGGCTGTGTGTCCCGGTCCTCCGACTGCACCTTGCATTGGTTCTCTTGCTGGACGGTGTTCTTGGCTTGGCTGTCCCGCGGCCGTGGGACACGCTGCTCCCAGCTCAGGTGAGCCTTGCGCTGCTCCTTCTGCTGCCACTGCTCCCGGCTCTGCTGCAGCAGCAGCTTGCGCTCCCTCTCCAGGGTCATCTGGACCTTCTGATCCGAGAGCTTCAGCTCCTCCCAGGCTACGGCCGCCTGCTGCTGCAGCTCGCGCATCCTCTGGGCCTTCTTGAGTCGGGTGAGCACCAGAGCCACAATCTTCTGGTCTCTGGAGGACATTACTGCCTCTTCCAACTTGTTCTTGAGAATCTGAGTGTGCTGGCTCTGCATCTCCTTGCTGGAGACTGAGGGCTGGGAGTACTGGCTGGCTAATGACGCCACGCGCTCACTACCGTCCCGCTTCGGGGTGTACACACAAGCGGACAGCGTCCTGAACTCTTGGGCGGGTGCAGGAGACTTCTCGGTGGGAAGTGAGGAGAGGGACCAGCGATCTAGACCTCTGTAGACCGGCACTGCCCACGGGTCTCCACTCTGCCCATTTTCTGCCCCCAAGGGTCCACTCAGGGGCGTGTAAGTGCCCTCGGGGTATGGCGAAGGTGAATCTCCGTGGGCAGGAGGGTAGTACTGGCTGGGCTGGGGCAGTTGGGGTGACACCTGGGACTGCTGCGGCCAGGCCGGGCTGTGCCCACAGCTCCCCAGCGACTGGGGCTGGGTCCTTGGCTCCCCCCAGGCATCTTCCAGGCGCCTGCTGCGGGTCCGGTGCTTCCTGGCGCGGTCCTGGGGCCTCCGGGCCACATCTCTCTGGTGGCGACTTTCCCGAGGCGAGTCAGGGGACCGGGGCCGGCAAGGCCGCGGGGTGGGTGAGCTGCGCGGGGATGACCAGGGTGCCGTAGCCTCGCCCCACTCGCCCAGAGTCCCGGTCCAGGAGCCCCTCATGGGCTCAGTCTGGGGCCCGCACAGCCTCTCGGAGGACTTGAGATCTCCGCGGGGCAGCGGGGACTCCCAGGGGTCCGGGTAGGGCCTCGCGGAGAAGTGGCCGAAGCCCTCCATGCTTCCTCCCGGGGCGCCCAGGGTCTGAGCCAGGGTCTCGGGGCCTCCAGGGGGCGCTGCCGAGACACGTCCCCGCCCTCCGATCCCTGGGGTCCTGGGCGCCTGTGACGCCAGGGCCACTTCACAATGCGCCTGGAGCCACCCGGCCCCGGCAGCCCTCTCTAGCACCCCCTACCGCGAGCGAGGCAGAGCGAGGGGCAGGAGGCCGGCGGAGGGTGTCGGGTGGAGGGGGGCTGTAGGAAATCAGGAGTGACCCTTAAATCTGAGGGTGCATAGTGGCCCCCCCACCAGTATTCCAGGCAGGAATTTGATCTTGCATTTGTACACCTTAAAGCAGCAGTCTTTTAAAAGCACCCAGGTGAAGGTGTCACCCCCAGAATGGAATGTGGAGGAAAAGGTTGAGGTGCAGGGGTGGGAGGGGTAGGGTGGGGAGTCCTCTGAGTCAGTCTTAGCCTCTCTTCACGGTCCCTACCTCTGTGCACCTCTACAGAGTATGCGCCATTGTTCTGCCTGTTTGTTAGCAAATCCAAAGGATGTTTCCGTTAATTCTTAAACTTTAGAACAGGAAAAGGCTAGTCTATTTCCCTCCTAATCTGCCAGTTACTGTTTTGTTAAAATATGAGTGTCGTGTGCACGTTTCAGAAACAGCATCAATGAACACCGTTCCGAAACCCATTTATGTATGTATGTATGTGTGTGTGTGTGTGTGTATGTATGTGTGTATGTATGTGTGTATGTGTGTATATATGTATGTATGTATATCTTTTCCTCCAATTTTGTGAGATTACTTTTCTGTGTTGAGGCACCCTGGGCTAATGGAAAAAGCACTGAATTTGGTCGTGCAAACTTGAGTTTGAATCTCCCCTGCCACTTTCCACCTGCGTGGTCTTGGGCAGGTTACCTACCTTTCCTGACCCCCAAGTTCTGGAAAAGTGGGGTGGAGGAAGGGCCAGGATAACACCAGCACTGCAGGCTGTCTTGGGGGGTCAGATAAAATTATATGTCAAGAGCTTAGCACCCTATTGCATTTAGTAAATATTATTTTTGATGTCCTGCTAGGCTTCAGTTAAAGATGGTAAGACTTGATATGTGGGTTTACAAACATTTCTATAGATTCCTAGTTTAAGGAAAGAAGAATGGAATTAAGGTAATCCTAAAACAGTTTAGGTAAAGGGTAGCGTGCTGGGAGGGGGGACCCCCAGGCTCTGTCATGTTCATCCCATCCTGTGGATCTTGGCTAAGTCACTTCCCTTCTCTGGGGTGCAATAAGGAAATGGTGCTCCAAACAGGGTGACTCCTTAAAGAAGAAAAGTGAGCATTTACTCACCCCAGTCCTCTTTACCCACATCTGCTTGGAGTTGCACAGCAACCCCAGCTAGGCGGGGCCAGTAGAATCGACAACATTTCTTTAAGATAAATCTGAAACTTGGCCAATTTAACTCATTTTCCCCAGAGGTCACTAGGTCAGTGGTGGGAGTTTTGACTTCAGATTCATTTCTCTTTCTATGACATCATGCTGCCTCTCTGGAAATGCACTTCGAATCGGTGCACGTGTTATGGATCAAATGTTTGTATCCTGCCTCCCGGAAATTCCAATGTTGAAGCCCTACCCCCCAGTGGGTTGGTATCTGGAGGTAGTTAGGTTTAGGTGAAGCCATGATGGGATTAGTGTCCTTATAGGAGGCGGAAAGGACCAGAGCTTCCTCTCTCTGCCGTGTGAGGACACGGCTAGAAGGTGGCTGTCTGTAAGCCAGGAAGCAGGCTCTCGCCAGAACTGAGTGTGCCAGCACCTGGATCTCAGACTTCCCAGCTTCCAGACTGTGAGAAACAAATGTCTGTTGTTTAAGCCATCCAGTCTATGGTGTTCTGTTATAGCAGCCCGAGCTGCCTAAGATGACACGCTTTTAAGAGAATTATGATCAGATGTAAATCAAATTTGAAATGGGATCGTTTCACACCAGAAGGTCGTGACAGCCATGTCCTAGAAGCCAGGTGTTAGCAGCCTTGACTAGAGTGACTGAGCCCTCCTCCCAATGGGCCACTCTGCCCGGGTGTGTTTTCCTATGCAGCCATTAGCACCTTTATAGCTGAGGATAAGAAGTGGTTTCTACCCTAGATTTTTATTGGCATCGCTTATACCAGTGTTAGAGAAATTATTTTGTGATGTAATTTCTACAAGGAGGCAACTTAAAAGAAAAAAAAAAGAGTAAATCAAATTTGAAATGGGATCGTTTCACTTTAAGCGAGGAAGTATTTAGGCATCAACTGAGTTGTGCTGATACCTGAGTGTCATATCTCTCGGTCGAAGCTTGGCCAAACACAACCAAATGTGGCTCTGACCAGTGCCGGGCCATTTCCTGCCACAGAGAAGCAGTGTCACGTGGCGAAAGCTGTCTGAGAGCCAGGAGCAGGTGAACTCGCACGGGCAGGCTGCGTGGAGTGACAGGGGAAGAGGACCAGGAAGGACTTCTGGGAGTAGAGGAGACTGATGTCCTAGCAGTCATGGAAGGAGAGAGTTTCAGGAAAAAGTCATCTCCAGGAAAGTGGGCTGGTCGCAGATTCCTTAGGGCCTTGACCGCAAGGCCAAGGAGCACAGGCTCTCCAGCAGGCAGCAGGGTCCGGCCCGCCCGGAGAGATCCAGGGTTCCTTGCAGCTGCCATGGGCCCCATAGGGATGGGGCTGGAGAACTTTGGGACAGGCTCTGAGGCCTCTGTCTCTGCCTTTACCCTTTACCCTCTATCTCCAGATCGGCTCACATTTTATGTTGTCTATTCTGGTTTCATTACACTGAAAAAATTTAGGGTTCTGCTTAGAAAAGGGGTTAAATCCATTGTGCTGATAACGGTGAGGAGTCGATAAAAGTCTTCAAACCAAAAAGGTGACCTAATTGGGTCTATATTTTAGAAATCTCACCCTGGCAGTAGTGCGGAAGATATAGTGGGGGCTGAGGGGAGGGAAATTGGAGACAGCGGGCCGATCAGGAGGTCGATTCAGTAATCCAGGGGAGCAGCAGGGAGTGTAAACCCGGACTCAGGCAGGGGCACGTGAAGGGATAGATTCAAGGGGCAGTTCAGAGATTGAGGGACAAGGACTTAAAGATGGATTTGATCTGGAGCAAGAGGGTTTCTAACCCGGGCGCCTGGGCAGATGGTGCGTGTCAACGACAAGAGGGCTCTTTCTAGGTGACCTCGAAAACAGTGATCTTGGAAATCAGGTGAAAGAAGCTTTAAAAACAAGCGAACCCCACAGAGAAGAGCAAACAGAATGTCTGGAAGAGGCTGACAAACTGGGAAGAGACACCCTTAGTATGATAAGTCTGGTGGGGAGGCGCAAGGCCTTGGAGCATGGCTGTAGGAGCTGGACAGTCCTTCTCACCTGCATCCGATTAAGACCGCTGGGAATATGAAGCCACCTTTAGGTTGTCCAGGACGCAGATGAAAGAGACGTTTTGCAAATGTTAAGCTGCCCAGCAGTCCCCTGATACTAAGTACAATCATCCTCCTTTTTATTTGGCAGAAAAGTCCTCAGTGCATTTCGTTGGAGGCCTTGAAGTTTGGGCCTCCTGCCAAATGAAGACTGGGCCTCAGTTCTTCATTTTTTGGAGGCTTGGAAAATATGGCGAAATGTGTTCAGCTTCCACAGTTCGAATTAACCGATGCAATAAAAATGTGCTCTGAGCCCTTCCTCAGAGTGGCTGTCAGTTACCGTCATGACTTCAAATTCGATCTCTTAGCAAAGCTCCTAGTTCTTGGATGGGTCAAAGGGGGAGAAACCAGCTAGAGCTGCTCTGTCCAGCACAGCAGGCAGTGGCCACATGTGGTTATGAGCCCT